GGTGCTGAGGGCGATCAGGAGATAACTTTGGATTTCCTGGAATGAAAATTTTAGATGGCTGTGAATTGCTACATGGCTGATGGATCAATCCCGGGTACTCTTAACTGTGAGCTACCTGCATTGTGTCCTCTAATCTCTTCTCTAATCTCTAATCTGGAGCTAAAATTCTAGTTTGAAAAGTCTCAAACCCCTGCCTTTTTTTTTATTATAAGTTTTAGTAAAAGACAGCCTGTTTTGTCAATAACTGCTGCAGGGCATGACAGGCCCCTCTATGTAAAAATATTTGCACTTTTCAAAGAAGGGGCTGACTGTTGATGAAATGTATTATTATTTGAAATACAGGTGTAATTGCATATTAAATGCCTTCAAATGTCCTTTTTTTCTTTTGCTTACTGAGAAAACATCTTGAAGAAAGTTGAGTATGCTGTCTTTATGGTGCCAAGCTAGAGAACCTGAGAAAGTAATTCTGCCAGCCAGCCAATTTAAACATTTGAATATGTGTCATATGATCCTGACTCCAGCAGAACCTAAACATGTTATTGTCTTCTCAATCCTGAACTGATTTTAAATGAGTATGCTCAAGGATGTGCTTGTGCATAATTTTATAGGAATCTGTATTATATATACATAAATATATTATATATTTATTGTGTGTAATACCTAATATTCCCATTCTTTCATTATTCCTCAACTCACTTTAGGAAATAGGAATTAATGTCAAGAATTCAGATTGAGCAGCATATGAGAAGGAAAGAATATTCAACTGGAGATTTTGTACTTCCTTTTATACCCCAACCTTTGTTATGTACAATATCCTGAACAAATCACTTACAGCACGTTCAAGTGTTATTGTCTTGGAAATCTATATAGCACTACCTACTATCAAGGGGTTATTTAAGGATTAAATGCATCATATAGTTTATATAATTCTAACCCACTATTAAAGTGTTCAACACATTTGGACTCAAATGGGTCCTAACTGTTCAAATACACAACAGTTACATGGTATAGTTTCTGGGGATGGGTAGGTTGCTAGTGGAGATCTAGCACTCCTATCTTATCTCTTGCTAGCACATGGGCATCTAACTCCAGGCACATGGATCTCATGAGACATACCAATTGATCAGGATGGCAGGCTCAATCTACAATCACTGGAGTACTACAGTAATACACAGAGCGTGCTATCTCGGTCTCATTTAAGTTAATCTGGCTCAAGAGGATAAAGGATGACATCTCTCTTCACAAAATAGGTAACAGATGGACTTGCCTAAAATCCACTTCTTAACTTAATTTCATTTGTTTAAATCTTTTTCTCTGATGAGATGGCATCCCGACAGGAATTTTAAATTGTTCTCCTGGAAATGGATATTTCTCTATCATTTAGAACCTTCTCTTGTGTTGTTCTGTTGTCCTGGATGGCTTTCATATTTCTGTTAAATACAACAAACACCCTTTGAAATATATTTCCCAAGTCAGGGTCTATGGCTGTCAAGATAAATATTGCATTCGACAGTCCATAATCAAACCGAGTCACAACTCTCTAAAACATTTTCACAGTTATTCCACTTTTTCTAAGTTCTCACGATCTTATTTCCTCTACTTTGCATCATGATTTTGGAAATGGATAGCTTAATTCCAGTGATACTTAGCTTGCATGAAGATCACAGTACAGAGCTAAGCAACTAAAGTTTAGGAGCTGGTGGCTCACACCTTTAATCCCAGTTCTTGGGAAACACACGCCTTTAATCCCAGTGATATAGAGGTGGAGACTGTAAGGGATATGGCATGGCAAAGAGAGGAATATAAGGAGGGAAAAGATAGGAGCTCAGATGTAGTTTGGATAAGCAGTCTGGATAAGAAGGCTGTCTGAAGGCAGGAGTGCCCCTTTGGTCTGAGAATTTGGGTAGAGGTGAAAGGTCTCTCTAGTGGCTGGCTGCACTACTACTCTGACCTTGCAGCTTTGACCCCCTAATATCTGATTCCAAGTTTTATTTATTAAGACCAATTAGAAACCATGGTGCAATTAATTGTACATTTAAAGTTTTGAGATTTATGCCTAACCAAGAATTTATTTTGAATCCAAAAATTGAATATATATTCTCATTCTTGTTAGCATTAAGAACATGACTGCAAAAAAATCAGAATAGCAATAGGTTACCTTTTGACAATTTTACCTAAATTAGATTACTGAAACAAACCAATTAAAGCCATTGAGGCTTTACTCATCAAGTTAAGCAAAATTAAATAAATGGACTGAGAATATGAGTCAATGAGTAAACTGTTATATAATCGAAGAGACCTCAACTCAAAATCCCTGAGTCCAACTTCAGGAGACAGAGCAGAAGGGTCTAAGAAGCTCACTGGCATTTTCCAACCAATCAAACACAAATGATATGGCACATGTACACACACACACACACACACACACACACACACACACACAGAGAGAGAGAGAGAGAGAGAGAGAGAGAGAGAGAGAGAGACTTATTTCCACTTTTGTCAGTGACAAATCTGAGTGCTTACTATTATACTATGTTTCCAAAAAAAGTCTTATTTTGTTAATTTTCTTTTAGCTTGATTTTCTTATATTTGCAGTACTAATCATGTTCATCCTAACTAACTGTTTCACTATTACAGCAAGGGCTATTTTTCATTTTTATTTCCAAATAATTTTTACTATCCTCTTAAATTCATCAAGAGAGTCCCTGTCGGCATTTCTTCTCTCCACTAACATGGATCAGATTGAGTTTCAGTCATTCATGGTTTCCCTCACCTCTGTACCTCTCTCTGTGGATATCTCAGCCCACTACAATGGACTCTTTCTAGGGCCAAAGGAGGGAAAACTCTAAGAAAACTGGGTTTGGGGCTGTTTTACTCCCTGTAGTATCAGCACTGCGAGGAATGAAAGATGTGCTTATCCCTGACAGGGCTCTGGTGCTCTTGTCTTCCTAGTGTTAATGGCTCCTTGCCCCAGAACATCTGCTTTCTTTTGTCTTTCTCATTTTGAGATTCCTTGCAAATGAATCTTTTGTTTCTAGATTGCCCTGAAATGTGTCTTAAACACCTGTTTGGTGAATTCATTTACTTTTGTTCCTTAGAACAGAGTACATGATTGCTTGTAATTGGGACAACCTTGATGAATATTAAAACAGAGGCACCGTTCTCATTAAAATTGGAGTAGAGGTAAAGGTTAACTTGAGTAGATTGTATTCTATTCAAGAAAAAAAAATTATTTTAAAAGTAACTACTGTTTATATACCTTATGAAAAACATTTTTTTTCCCTTCAGGCTTTAGATGGTCTTAAGCGAATGCAATGGAATATTCACGTTTTCGTCTCTCTTAAAAGATGAAAGTGATCATGGCACTTGAGCACTCTAAACTATAAGCATTTCATGTCTGTACGCTTCAGAATGGACTTAACACTTCTAATAAACCCAGACAAGCAAAAGATGTGCTTTGTTTTACTGTTCCCTTAATGTTACAGGGAAGAAGCTGCAGAAACATTAAGGCCTTAGCGGGGAAAATAGTATCTGAAACCAGGCCAGGCCGTTTCCAAGGCCCGTGTCTACGCAGACCCAGGCATTCTTTCCACTTAAATATGCTATCAACCCACACAGATGCTGTTCTGGATTTAGATTCTCTTGTGTGCGTTTCCTATTCAGACAGGGTTTCATCATGTAGCCCTTGTCAAAAAAAAAAAAAAAAAATCCAGATCCAGATCTCCTTCCCTCCATGTCTTCAGTGCTAGGATAACAGGTTTGCCCCACCACATCCAGCGACAATTCTTTTTACAAGTCTCCACTCAGGAAACTCTTCATAGCTCACAGATGCATCCTTCTGTACACCTGGGTATCTGTCTGTCCATCCCCATGTCTCAGAGAGCTTCCTCTGATTTCACAGCTGCTAGCAGAGAACAGACAATGGCTTTTAGAGTATGGAGCTCTAATTTTACTCTGAACTCTCTCTGTGGTATACTTAAGTGGCCATTATGCTTTATTAATGATCCTCTTTCAACATGTTTCTTTTGCTATGGATTAAAAACAAGGGTATTAATATTACCTTCATTTTCACATTTTCTTTATCACAGTGTTTCTCGAATTCACCATCATCTTTTTTGAATTTTGGCAGCTTTGAAGGTTTTATCATGTCTTTCACAGAAATGTATTTTAATTCTAGGCAATGTGGATTTATAGTGGAAATAAAATAAAAAGAGTGTTCTTTTTATATTTTGTGTGTTGGTGTGTGTGTGTGCACGTGTGTGTGCTCATGAACACACGTGTGCAGTTTCCAATACAGACACCTGTGAAGGGCATAGATTGGATGTGGGATGTCTTCCTCAGTCATTTCCCTATCTTATGTTTGGAGGTGAGATATCTCATTGAGCCTTGAACTAGACTCAGCTAGACTTACTAATTAACAAACTCTCAGGATCTGTCTGCCTTTACTCACAACTCTGAAGTTGTTAACAAACACTACCATACTTGACTTCCTGTGTGGTTGCTAAGGACTTGAATCTTCCCATTCACATTTTTTAGGAAAAAAAATTAGTGAAGTAACATGCATGATTACAAAGATTGTGTCATATGAGTTTTTACTATGAACCTATTGTATTAGCCTCATTAAGTATAAAAAACCCTCATTATCAAAGGCAGACAGAAGTGTTATTTTTTTAACACTTACAAATTGATTCCCTATAAAACAGCAGATTTTACACATAGCTTTAATAAAAAGTCATATTGATTTTTTAGTAAATATTTTAATGATATTTAAATCTATAATAAGAAAAAATACAAAATAAGCAGATATGAAAAAGTATCTCTATGATATATATTATTAACATTTGTTAGTTTAGTAGAGTGTAAATTGCTTTGTGTTGGAATGATACAATGAAATAAATCCCAATAACAACATATCTAAACAGGACAGAGCCTTGATAGTGTAATCAATCAGTACCAAATGAATATATTCCCCCAAAGAGGAGACAAACCCAGACACTTACTGATTTCAGTAGCAATAATGGTGATGTTGTGCCAGACACTTAGTTCTCTGTCCAGTGGAGTTGCCAGGGTTATCTTCCCATCATCCGCATTGATGTTGAATTGTCTCTCCAAGTCAGTGTGACGGTCGATGGAAAACCTACAGAACAGAGAGATTATGATCTCCTTGTAGATTTCCTTGATGTTTACTTTCTACAACAGACCTTTAGTAATCCTCTGAGACTCATAGTTGGGAAACCAAATGAACTGGGAAACTCTGAGGCATCGTAATTTGTAAAACAAAATGACTGAATGAGGCACAGCGAACTTAATAATTATTGTCCAAGGAGCAATTAGATACATATGCAACATGGAGGTCATAAACCACCATCCGTTTCAATAGGTAGCGTCTTCAAAAACTGATGCTGATGAAGAGTTAATTGGACAATCCATCACATTTATTAGACAACTTATGATAATTAGCCATTTCACATGATACGATATAAAACAACAAACTCAGGCCAATGTAAGGTGTATTGGCAACATGTTATTCATTACTGCTTAAGGAAATACTGGTTTCTGATAAAATTGTGTGTTACACAATTTTCTGTAAGTGAAGTTACCAGTATTATCTTCTCGCCATATTCACTAACTATACAATGACTTAAATAGGTAGTTAGATAAGTACCATTAGGTAAATTGTGACTCTTCCATCTTTTCAGGTTTTTATTCATTAGAAATTGCGTATGCAGTTTTTAGACTAGATTCAAAGACCAGCAAAAAGTTGGGTATCATTATTAAATCCCCTATCAGTTAACCATCACCATGAAAGAGTTTGGAATAGTACTAAAAGCTACTTGTATCACTGACATTTATTTATTGTTAAATTCCTTAATCAAATGAAACAATTAAAGCTATAACATCTGATTTAGTAATGGTTCAGCTACAAATAAAACTCAGACAGTGACTACTCGCTATATAACATAGGAAAGAGTTCATCTCAACTCTATAGGGTAATCGAAGAATTCACAAAAGATTCAAGAATATCACAACACAGGAATTAATAGTCTCAACAAAATGTTGATGGTGTGAAGGCATTTATTAAAACAGCTTTGGAATCTACAGTACTTAGAGATGAGACCAAGGCCCTTTTACTGTAAAATAATGATTGAGTAAACTACTGAAGTTCTAAAGTTATCTGTAAAACATCTGGACAGACATTTGTTTATCCCATGTACTGTATATACTCTGACTCTTAAAAAGATCTAAAAAATGTCTTCTGGATTAATTATCACTTTCCATACCCTAATTTTCTTAAATACAATTTCCAGACATCCCTGGGTTCTAATAATTCTAATTTTTTTGTACTGCGATTATTACAAACATTGATGGAACAAGTTTCTCAGAGGCCAAAGTAAATGAGAATTAGGCAAATCATTGATGTCTAAAGAGCCCCTTTTCCAATGCATGCTCCATGTTTATTTGGTGGTTATACTGTGAGTGACTGGAACCACTAACCTAAACTAGTTGGAACAGTGTAATATATTTCCAACAAAGCTCCTTGATTATTCTATTTTTAAATTTAAATAATGAAGACAAGAAACTTTTTCAGAATTCTCTTGCATTAATTAATACGGTATGTGAGTGTGTGTGTTATGTGTATGTAGCAGTATGCATGTATGGATATATTTGCACATATGTACAAGCAGACCTAGAGGTTCAAGGCTGGTTTGGGGATCTTCATCAACACTTCCTCCACTTTAGTCTTTATAATAGATTCAGGTAGTCTCTCGAGCTAACTTGCCCTGGGGGAACACTTGTTTTCCTTTTGAGACTGGTGTAGAGAAGAACTCTGATCTTCTTGGTGGCACAGCAAGCTCTTTAACCACTGAACCATCTCTACAAACTGTTATATTTGTGGTTTAGTATACATTATTGTTATTGGGTTAATTCATAAACACCTAACCTTTATCTCTTTGTAGAAAATAATAAAGTACTTATATATAAGAAATTAATATGAAAAGAAAAAGTAAATTACCCATAAGTCTTTGGTTCTTTGTTGATACTATAAATAGGACTATTTATTGATGATTGTCAAAATTTCTCAAAATGAAATCTTAATCTAATTGAAGAGCTTTGGATAATGATGTGTCTCTAACTATATGTAAAAGGCATAAACTATAAATTCTGTTTGTGATATTTAACTTCCCTAGCTCTATTAAGGCCTAAATATTTACCTCAGTTTTTAGAGTACAAGCTTATTCCAGACTTCATGTCATCATTCATAGGAAATTACTAAATAATCAATAAATGCAGTCATTTATTAATATTATAAATAAAACCATAGTAACACTACATGATTTCATAATGGAGAGAACTGAATAGAAAAAAGTGACTAAGTTGAAGATTCTTTTCCACCTGAATTGTGTCAAGGAAGGCTCCGGTGCTTCTAAAGAAGTTTACTTTATAAATTCATTTGGAAACATCTGCTCAGGAAGAACATTTCAGCACTGGATATTTACCAGTACAGTGCTAGCTAGCTATTCTTTCTATACTTTATAGGGTTCCAGGAATTGAACCCTATAGGGTCGTGAGAATTGAATCATTTGTCCTCCTTTATATAAACTAGTATAGCCTTTGTGAATAAAATTTGAAGCCTTTGTCACAACTGCCCATTTATTTTAAATAATTTTTAGACTATCTAAATATTTAATGCAATATAAATTCTATGTAAAAATCACATTGTTTTTGAAATAAGAAAAGAAAGGGGACTGCATATGTGTAGAACAGAGGCAACCATCCTAGATTTTATATCATCGTATATAGAGGAAACATGAGAAGTTTGAAGAGATACTGAGGATATTTGAATTTATAAAACTCTCCTGTGCTGGTCCGACCTATTATTTCATCCATGTGAATTTAGAATAACCTTCAGCGAATGAGTTTTGCGTTCCATAATTTTCTGAAATAGTCTACATTTTTATGGAATCTAAATTGTTTGGGATTTACAATATAAGGCCCCTAGATACAAAATGTTTCTAGGGGCCTTATATTGTAAATGTATAGAATAGAATAGAATAGAATAATTTTTTAAATATTGGGGTATTTATATACCTTATATAATAAATAGAAATTTAGAGTGACTATGTGTGATTTCTTCTGAAACTCATTCATAGCTCAAGAAAGCAATGTTCAGCATTGGATAGAGATATTATCTAATTATTAATATTACTGTCAGAATTAGATACATAAGACACACTGCACTGACCAATATGAAATAAGCACAGCTCAGTCACAAGGACTCTCAATTTACTTATGGGTCAATATCACCCTTGGATGCTACATGTATATATAAACTAGAAATACAAAGGGGATACAGACTATTAGGTTGCGATGTTTTGTGCCCCTTAAAGTTATATTTAGGAATCCAAATCACCCCAAAATTACAGGGTGAATGACTAAGAGGAGCCCTGTCTGCTCTACTTTTCCCAATGAATTCTAAGGGAATCAGAATACCCTTGCTAACCACATATAAAGACAGTGAGATAGCAATCTACAGTCAAGCAATGAGGGTCCTCAGCTCTCGTAGTTTGAAAAATAAAATATTATTGACTTAAGATGCCCAGTCTTTAGAACTTTGTTAAAAGTTTCTAGAACAGAAAATGGAAGGATCTCCCATGCTCTTGGATTGAGAGGATCAACATAGTAAAAATGGCAATTCTATCAAAAGCGTTCTATAGATTCAATGCAATCCCCATCAAAATCCCAACAAAATTCTTCACAGACCTTGAAAGAACAATAATCAACTTTATATGGAAAAACAAAAATCCCAGGATAGCCAAAACAATCCTATACAATAAAAGTACTTCTGGAGGCATTTCCATCCTTGACTTCAAGCTCTATTACTGAGCTACAGTAATGAAAACTGTTTGGTATTGGCATAAAAACAGAGATGTTGACCAATGGAATCGAATTGAAGACCCAGAAATTAATTCCCAAACCTACAAATGCCTGAATGGCTAAAATCAAAAACACCAATGATAGCCTATGCTGGAGAGGATGTGGAGTGAGGGGACACTCATCCACTGTTGGTGGGAATGCAAACTTGTGCAGCCACTGTGGAAATCAGTGTGGCGGTTTCTCAGGAAACTGGGAGTCAACCTCCCTCAGAACCCAGTAATTCCACTCTTGGGAATATACCCAAGAGATGCCCTATCATATCACAAAAGCATTTGTTCAACTATGTTCATAGCAGCACTATTTGTAATAAACAGAACCTGGAAACAGCCTAGGTGCCCCTCAATAGAAGAATGGTTAAAGAAGGTGTGGAACATATATACATTAGAGTTTTACTCAGCGGTAAAAAACAATGACATCTTGATTTTTGCATGCAAATGGATGAAAATAGAAAACGCTTTGCTGAATGAGGTAGCCCAGACACAAAAACAGGAATATGGTATGTACTCACTCATAAGTGGATTCTAGCCTTAATTAAAGGTCTTTGAGCCTATTATTCGTGATCCTAGAGAAGCTAAATAAGAAGGTGAACCTGAATTATACAGTTATCCTCCTGGATATTGGAAGTAGACAAGATTGCCAGGCAAAACTTGGGTGCATGGGGGGTGGGGTGAGGGTGGATGTAAGGGAAGATTGGTAGAGAGAAGGGAGAAGGGGAGGATTCGGGAAAGCTTGGGGGAGTGGGTTGGGTGGGATGGAGGAAGGATGGATATGGGAGCAGGGAAGTAATTATCTTAATTAAGGGAGCCATTTTAGGGTTTGTAAGAGACTTGATTCTAGGGGGGTTCCCAGGTCCAAGGAGAGGTCCCCAGCTAGGTCCTTGGGCAGCAGAGGAGAGGGTCCCTATACTGGCCTTCTCCCATAACTACACTGATGAATATCTTACATATCACCATAGAACCTTCATCTGGCGATGGATGGAGATAGAGACCGAGACCCACATTGGAGCACTGGACTGAGCTCCCAAGGTCCAGATGAAGAGCAGAAGGAAGGAGAACATGAGAAAGAAAGTCAGGAGCACGGGAGTGCATCCACCCATGGAGACAGTGGGAATGATCTAATGGGAGCTCACCAACGCCAGCTGGACTGGAACTAAATGAGCATGTGATCAGAACAGACTCTCTGAATGTGGCTGACAATGAG